GATATAGAAAGGAATGCGTCACTGTAAGTCGCAAAGTAAAGCCCGGATTTTAATTGGAATTGACGACTTTGATATTAACCAAGATATCGATTCGATGCAGGTCTCATGCGCTTAAGTAGGCGCATGGTACAGAGCCCTTGCCAAATGCAACGAACGCATGGAGATGCATTCCCCAGCTTGAATGATACTATCCAAATCTGGTGGAAAAGCAGAGGAATGAATAAGAAGTGTGCATTCCATGAATAGATCTCAATCAATAGCAATCGCAAAAGCGCCGCCTCAATAAGAGTCAGTCTTTGTGTTATTGATTCATATTTTTGAAGTAGCATTGAAAGTGACCAGGATCCATACAGGCCAGTTATTCACCTAGAAGATCTGTTATCCCGATAGATGAAAATGTGAATAGCAGGTGATCGAGGCCCTTATGTGCAGTCAATAGTGTCAATAGACATTTCTTAACCAAAATGGGCCATCAATAAAGTTAAGCTCCTCAATAAACTTTTGCATCATCTCTTTCTTTCAGCGGTACTGGAGAGGTCTTGAGGTTGATTGATAGACTGCTAGAACATTAAATATACTTGGATATACTTGGAACGGACTGCAACAGATGTGGTTAAGGGACAGAGGAATATCCCCCCTGGGTGCCGCAGAGGTATAATGACCTCTCTTCTCAACAAGCCAAGAAAAAGAATTTTGATCATGATGTATCTCTGTACGGAGTACTCTGTACTTAGCTTAGCGTTTGTACTGATGAACTGTCAGTGCCAGGTGATAACATGCGGATTACAGCGACTATTGTCCAGCGACTCTTCTTTCTCGCGTCTTTTTATTCATTGTAAATAATCAACGCATTGTTACCTATTTCTACGTTGAGGACTGATGATATTATGACGCGGAGAGGTGAAAAGATAAGATCGGGCCGTGTTCTGGGACAGGCACTGCGCAAATAATACATAGAGAGGACGGAGGACGGAATAGACACCTTACCTGATGGATGCCGAGATGATCCGCCGTTTTTTCCGGCGCCTCCTTCTTCCTCGTGGCCGTGCACCTCGTTTTCCAACTTCATCCGTCGTTTTGCCTGCGCGTTTTCTTGCTCACCAGGGAACAATTCTTTTCATCTCCTCTCTTCCTGTCCATTCTCTTTTCGTGTCCATTGCCTCCCAAAATGTTCTCCTTGCGGACGGCGCAGCCAGCGCAGGTTAGTGAGACCCAACGTCAGATAGATTGTGTGGCTCGTGGTCGGGCTTTTTCTCATTTCCTGTCCCATTTTCTCCTCTTCTTTCTGGCTACTTCCCTCCGCCCGGCAGCAGCATTGCAGCCGCATTGCAGCCGCATTGCAGCAGCTTTTTCATTCCGCGTGCTTCGATGTCGTGTTTGTGTTAATTAAAGCTAATTTCTTTATATTCTGCAGGCTTTCTTCCGCCGCGCAGCTGGTGCAGGCTCTCTAGTGCGCTCCTCGATCCCAGCAAGATGTACGTACCTCCAATGCTTTTGCAGCGGGACTGGCAGCGTTCCTATGACATCGATTGACTTGGGTCTCCAGCTTTTGCTAGCGTGCAGTCCGACATCTTCAAGCCCACGAAGTATGGCGGCAAGTACACCGTTACTCTCATTCCAGGTACCTATAGCTCAACCCAAGCGTGTCCCCGAATGTCAACAGTCGGTATCGCTGACACGAGATTTTTCCTCTGTGATGCAAAGGTGATGGTATTGGTGCGGAAGTTGCCGAATCAGTCAAGACCATCTTCAAGGCCGACAACGTTCCTATTGAATGGGAGCAGGTAGATGTCAGCGGTGTCGATACAGGCAACAAGCATTCGGAGGAGCTCTTCAAGGAATCCATCGCCTCTCTTAGACGCAACAAGCTCGGTCTCAAGGGTATCCTGTTCACCCCTGTTGAGCGCTCGGGTCACCAGTCATTCAACGTTGCTCTCCGTCAAGAACTTGATATCTTCGCTTCGATCGTTCTGATCAAGAATATTCCCGGTTACAAGACGCGGCATGAGAACGTTGACCTCTGCATTATCCGTGAGAATACCGAGGGAGAGTACTCTGGTCTCGAGCACCAGTCGGTACAGGGTGTGGTTGAGTCGCTGAAGATCATCACTCGTGCCAAATCAGAGCGCATCGCCAAATTCGCATTCGGATTTGCTCTCGCCAACAACAGAAAGAAGGTCACCTGCATTCACAAGGCAAACATCATGAAACTCGCCGATGGCTTGTTTCGCAGTACTTTCCACAAGGTCGCCGAGATGTACCCTACCCTGGAAGTTAACGACATGATTGTCGACAATGCATCCATGCAGGCCGTTTCTCGGCCCCAGCAATTCGACGTGATGGTCATGCCCAACCTGTACGGAGGCATTCTATCCAACGTCGGTGCTGCCCTTGTCGGTGGACCTGGTGTGGTTCCTGGCTGCAACATGGGACGTGACGTTGCGGTCTTCGAGCCCGGCTGCCGTCATGTTGGCCTGGATATCAAGGGGAAAGATCAGGCTAATCCCAGTGCTATGATCCTTTCTGGATCCATGCTTCTTCGCCACCTTGGCTTGGACGACCACGCAAACAGGATCTCCAAGGCCGTGTATGATGTGATTGGTGAAGGGTGAGTCCACATTACTATCTTTTTTTTCGACGGTCTAATTCGGCTAATTCTCACATTTTCAGTAAAACGAGAACTCGCGACATGGGTGGACAAGCCACCACTCACGAGTTCACCAGGGCCGTCTTGGACAAGATGGAGGCTGCTCTGTAAATTGCTACCGATACCACTCATCTCCTTTCTGCAATTCTCATGATGACGAAGAAAAAAAATGGTCTGTTGTCGTGTTCCCTGAAGGCCTTGCTAGCTGGTTAGACCTATGCTTATACTCTGTAACACTTACAACCGCATACAATGCAAGAAGACGTCTACTGTATATTCGAAGCGATAAACATGATTGTGGGATAGGGAGTAAGTGTTAGATGCGTTGTTAATAATAAAGGCGCTTGAAAGTTTGCTATTGTCCAAATCAAGGGTATCATCAATCGGCAGTAATCTATGAGCCTATCTTTGCTCCACGAGCTTCCAAACAGCATGAGACATCCTACCCCAGGCTTGACACAGCAACAAAAATCTCTTAAGAGGATGGTCCACAGCCCATTCCGAACCACTAGACACCTGAGTGGAGCGGCTCTGATCTGAAAGCATCCCTTCGAGACAGACCTATCTGTCAAACAGTTTGTAATCTTCGTGAGAGCAGGAAGGCCTTTCGTCGGGATGTCAAACGGATATATCGGATGACTGCTCAATTCAGTTCACCGCACAAACACGCGCTCGGTCAAGTAGTTTAAAGCAACGAGTCTGTTAACCACTGCGTTGCGTCGATCTAGCTGTACTTGTCGCAATGAACGAGTGACCCGGAGCTATGTAAATGGTGGCACACAGCCGGACAGAGCATGTAAAGCTAAAACGCAGGACGCCTCTTTCTTCCGGTGTATCTGGAATTTGCTTTCACAATTTTCCCTTTCTTCGCCATTTGTTCCTTTTTTCGCAAAATCCAGGCTTTATCTCCTTTCCTGGATGGCTGGACCTTGCTGCGCTCCGCGGCTTTCCTCCTGGCATCCAAGATGTCAACATCATTCATGCCTTGGACAACGCCTGTAATATCGCCATGCAGTCTGCCGCCTCCGACGGTCAGGACGAGATATAATTTGCCATTCTTTGTGCCAGGATCATCTTCTAAGATACCAGCTCCGAAGCCAGCTCTTACAGCAGCGCCGCTAATCATGGTCCGTTGCGCATCGTTCTTCGGATAGAATTGGCAGACTGCACGTCCCCCTTTGCGGAGACTGGAGTATAATCCCTCAAAAAATCTACGAAGACGGCCCTCGGGGCTGACATCGCTTGTCTCCGCATTGCACAACCACTGGATAGCACTGATACTGATAGCCGCGTCGAAGGTGCCAGGCCGAAATGGCACGCCCTGTCCAATATCAGCCAGGAGCAAGTCACCCTCAACATCTCGTTGTAGTGCCACATCAAGCATGCTTGGCGAAATGTCCATCCCGACCCAGGTATGAGGTCCACCCTCCTGAGGAGGAACTTGGGAAAGGATCTCGCCAGAAAGGCCAGAACCGCACCCCACATCGAGGATGAGCGATGGAGAACGAAGATCGAGAAGCTCCAGCGCTCGATGGGTCATATCTGATTGAATGTTACGAATACGGGATGAAGTCGTGTATTTTCGAGATTCATTGTCATCGTAGAAGAGATCGGGAGGCCTTTGCGTGCGGGATTCGAAAACTCATGTCAGCACCAAGCTCAAGTGAAACAACAACAAGAGTAAATGTTTTCGCATTGAGGTAACCCACAGAACATCCTCAGGACGAGACATGGTTGGTAAGGTGAAATGAATCGCTGATCCGCGAGGATATGTATCTGAAATTGCCGAGGAAAGACTGCTTCTTGTGGCTCACCAGTGTCTCAGTTCAACAGGGTGAGTGAGAATCTTCAATTATAAATGTGAACTGCACTGTGCAGGAAAGTTTATTGGTAATCAGGCTGCCTTTGTCACGTTCATACTTCGAATAATGTCTTGCTATTGCAGGGAGGGGAAATAATTTTTTTTTTTTTTTTCCGTTTTCCCTCCCTCTTCTTTATCCACCATATTTCTCCTATCTGATGACGGCACGGTGGCTGATTTGCCCGCTACAAGACTGAGGCCTGAGGCATCAAATGCAGCCGTCTGGTTGTGGGAGGCGTCCAACTTTCGGATAAGGTAGATGCCCACTATAGATTACCAGACATGCCAGACATGACTGGCCACCATAACGCCCAGACGCTGTGTTTGATATACCCTTTCACGACATATTATAGACGCACTGACGTTCCATAATCTCCTCTTGAGCTTTCTTGCTTCCCGTTCGACTCCCATCCCTTTGTCGATTCGTTCTCAATTCCATTCTAGGGACAGCTAGCCGTTCTACTTCCGGCTTCTTCGCCTTATTATTTTGAAATGTGGATCCTTCCTCTTGTCGGCTACTTAGGGGTCATTGTAGGATTTACTTTCCTAACACTAGCTATAGGTAAGCAGCTCGACAATGAGACTCATGGTGATGATGCTTCAGTTTTGCAAAACCTGCCTAAACTCGCTTTGAGAAATCTGTAACAGTTCCCAGAACACCTGAACTAATTAAGCATTAGCATCGGGGCTATACTATCTATCAGAGCTTGTGGAAGAACATACAGTCTTCGCACGTCGGGTGTTAACTCGATTGATATACAGTATCATCTTCATCCACATTTTTCTCTTCCTCTTCGATGGATTTCCCTTCTTCCTCTCTATCTTCAGTATCGGCTCACACATCGTGTACGCGAGCAATTTACGACGTTTCCCAATCGTCAAATTGTCTGATCCATTATTTATCTTATCGTGTGTGCTTGTCGGCTTGAATCACTGGCTCTGGTTCCGCCATTTTTCGAAGCCGCTACCCTCATCACGGGTGGGCACCAACTGGCGTCAGCCGTACGAAGTTGATATCGAAGATATGCCAACTTTCACCGAGGTGGCTTCTTACTTTGGACTCTGCGTGTGGCTTGTTCCATTTGCCCTTTTTGTTAGTCTCAGTGCAGGGGAAAATGTCTTGCCAAGTATGGGATCTGAGTACGCGACAGGCGGGCATGTTCCTGCCGTAGGACGTACTCGCAGTGCTTTGTCATCAGATGGGAAAATGAAGAATAAGGGGATGGCGAAAGCCGTAGTAGACGGCGTCAGGGATTGGATTAGCGAAAACGGCGAATTGATGGGCTTCTGGAGGGGTGAACGGACAAGAAGATTTTAAACGTTAACTCTTACCACACCGTTCAAAGACCAGCCATAGTAGTCTGCTTTCTGATTTGCTTGTTCCGATAGAACTTCGCAAGGTAAACCATCCTATTGGAGAATAGCTGAATTGGCGATTGTATTAACCCATGACTTTTAAACAGTGGGGAAAATTGTTATAGACAAAGTACAAATTCAAAGCTCAAGCCTCAAGATAGTACTGCTTGATATAAGTGTGCACTAGGGTAAGCTAAAGCACAAAATGGTGTCCAAACACGTCTGTATCGGATGATTAAGGCACTGACTCTTGGGCCATCCCTGCCAACATATATTCCTTGAGAACAATTAACATTAACATTAAGCGCCTGGATGTAGCTCCTTCGTTGTATGTATGTATGGCTTCGTGATTATCATTCCACGTCCGTCCAAATCGTAATTGACATTAACCTTAATCATGAAAGACATAATGCAAGGTTATAACTGATGAATAAAACGCACATAATATGCAAGAAGAGGAAGGCAAAATGGTAGGGATATAGATGCAAAGGCAGGGGGTGAGTCAGTGCCTTCGTGGAGGAGGTATGGCGTGGCAAGGTGCATGGAATCAGAATTCCACTCGATACATGATCGTCTTATCATTCACCTGGATTCTCTCAAATCAGTTTGCAAACGAAGACTGAATCGGGCTAATCGAGGACGCTTACTCTGATCATCGCGCATAGCTGGGAGACTTGAGCTTTGGTGGTTATATTCCATGAACAACATAGAGCTCTCCCTTCTCTTGGCCTTAGCAGAACGGGAATTATCAACGCCGGGCATCAACATTCTATTCATAGCTGGGGAATCCGGCTGCCGGTTGTAATATTCCACTGCGTTATGAGACGATTGCTCATAACTTGGCTGCATTGAAATAAACCCTGTGTCATGCCGTAAATCATCTGCCGCCTCTGTGGGCCTGCGAAATGTTGTTTGGTTATAAGCAGGCGTGGGCAAATCTGAGAACATCTGATGGCGTGGAGAGCGGATGTCTTCTGGTAGCGCCGGACGATCAACTTTAAGCTCGACTGGTTCTAACCGTCCTTCTGGCATTTTATCAAATATGCTCTCAAAGTCTGTGAGGAACATGGAGAAAACGGGGGCTGGAATGTTGAGCGTTGGTGCAAAGACAATGCCAACATTTCTGATTGTCATCTTGTTCACATCGGAGTTGTTGACAATGATAATCAAAAACTGAACTAGTGCCCGTAATAAGGCCAGGTTTGGTCGTGGGAGCCTGTGGACAAGTGAATTAAATGCCAGGATTTTCTTCTGCCGCTCATCCAATTCTAAATAGGGTTCGATTAGTATAGTGCCTCAAAGCGAAGTGAAGAGAAAAGAGGGAAGGATACTGCACGCACCAAGCACACGCAGAAAATCCAGATGTAGTTCACGAGTAAGAACAGTTGTGGGGAGCTCCCGTAAGTATTGCTTGAAAAGACTGGCCACAGCATGAACATCGTAGTACTCATCACCGGCAAGGAAGTCAACATCCCCTTCAGTATTGAAGCGTTCCTTCAGCGCTTTGACGACCACATTGGAACCGCTTAATCGAAATATACCTTCCTCTGCTGCTGCTCCCTTCGCTTTGAGATACTCAATGCAGCGATAGACAACAGCTGGTAAATCGACGTCAATACCTTGTGGAGCGCAGTGCTGCACAGCCTCCGCCAAGGGTATTCCGAATACAGGCCTGACGAGGTCTTTTCTTTCTGTAGAAGGATTCATGAGTGCTTGAGCTGACGAAGGTTCTTGACTCGCCTGTAGCTGCGAGGCAAGATCATACGATGACCTTGTGCGGAAACCCCAGATGCTGCGCTTCTTTTCCTTGGTGCTAGTGACGGTTTTATTGCCCCAGGCCCCTGCATCCTGGATCACTGTACCGTTTGTAGGTGCAGATATCACTTTAGATGAGGGCTGAGCATGATCCAAAGCCGGGTTTGTATCCGAAGATTCCATTGCTGCCTCTAATGGGAACATGGGGGATTTCGGTGGTTGCTTTTCGGACGGAGGACCCAGAAGAGGCGGTTCAGCAGGAACAGCATCATCATAACTGAATCCTTGCACAGTGTCGGTCAAGTCCACCTCCGCGTTGTTCATTCCCTTGCCACTCTTTTTGCTCCCGCCTGCGAAAAGTTTAGATTTTGAAGTTGATTGAGAGACATGTCTTGCTTGGGCTGAAACTTGACTCTGCGGCGACGTGTTCTCTGTGCCCTCATTATCCGATTGTCCCTCAACATACGCCAGGAGCGCTTCGACCCAAGCATCCCTTTCTTCATCGCTCTCAGCGCAGAGCACGTGCCTCACGAGCGCTGATGAGTCTTTTCTTTTCGGTTCCAATATGAGAAAGGCGTGTCGGTATTGGTTTTCAGAGTCATCTTCAGCCCCGGACAAAGGGTTGTTTGGGTTATTTGTGGACTGCGATTGCTTGCCGATCTGAGCATTGAAAATTTTGATAGTTCCGAGGTGAGGACCACCTGGCGATTCAAAATACTTCAACTCAGGCCCGTAGAGTATGAAGTATCGTGCTTTCCAACCGCCAAAATTCTTGCCCCTTTTTGTCAAATACCCCTCCTTTTGGGGTTTTCCATCTTGACCTGGCGAAGCTTCCGAGGTCGCTTTACTGTTGCCCTTCAGCAAACTTGACTCGTCATCTCGCGGCTCGGTAGCATCCACAGTGAGAAATTGGCAGATCGCTAATGCCGCTCTCTCGTCTACGGGGGTGTCAAGCAGAGCTTCGAAGTAGGAATTCAAGGCCGCACGTCTCGCGTCGATTTTCGCGGGGGAATGACCGCTGAAAATGGATCTATCTGGCAGTTTCATCCATAAAGCAGACGATTGTCTTATTTGTTGATCCAGCTGCGGGAGGGCCGCGACGACCTTCTCTACCCGCCAAAGTTCTAGGTTCTCTGATCGCGAAAAGACACCCAGGGTGAATACCGGCTCTTCTTCGGAAGGCCTTGGTGCCATATAGCTGTTTCTAGAAGGCCTAAGTCGCGACGAAGAGACCTTCACTCGTATCAAAGGAAGAGCGTTTGGAGGCAAAAGAAGACCGGGGTAATCCTCCGACATCAGGCCTTGATATATCCCGGTGACAGGAGGGCAGGGTGACCGAGGATTGTCCTTTCTCGAGCCATGGTCGATTGTAGGAATAGGCCTGTGGGTAGCATCAATATGCGAAGGAGCAGTATCAGTAGGCATAGAAGCTCCGGGAGCAAAGGGATGTGGATGATGAGTAGCGCGCGGGGACAGGGCCAAGCCTGCGAGGCTATTCTCTGAAGACATCGGCAGATGTGCCAATGAGTTTGGCACTTCCCTGGGCATCCGGGGCAAGGGAGAGCCTATAGGGCGATCTTCTGGTCTTGGGCTGAGAGGCAGTCCCGGACTTTTTGGGACTGCGAATACGGGTTGATCGTTCAAAGATGGCGCATGGATGTTTCGAGGGCTTTGAACAGAAGTCAGAGAATCCTGATGGTCAATTGGAGAGGACGACGAAATGGGTTGCCACGGGTTCTTAGATATCCCGAGTGTCAGTCCACTGGTAGACGTTTCGCCTGAAAGATACGTATGTGGTGTCTCTTCTCCAGTAGCCTTAAGAGCGCCCATTTCCCTGTCAAGGGCTGCTTCCCGTTCTCGATCATCGTCATCCCTCGTTTTCCGCCTACCACGCTCAACCAGCAATTCGTCGACCTCAAGAATATCTTCGTAATCGGATTCTGAATCATACGTGCCCGAGTTCTCCATAGCTGCAGGCTGTGCTTGTCCGAGTTTCAGCGGGGCAGGAGGAGGCTTGCGGGAAGGATGAGGAAGTCTCTGTTGTCTATCCTCCGCTGGAAGGGACTCGTTAAGAGCTGAGCTAGAACTGGCCAAGGAAGTTGGGCTCGCTGCTGACATTTCTTTCCGCGAGCAAGCGAGCGATTGCGAATTTAATTGCTGATCGAACTCCTCTGTTTGTCCAGATCGCGCGTTGTCAAACTCAGTGGTCAATGTCGTATTCAGGCGCGGAGAGCCTGGCTGGGTAGGAGACAGACGATCTGTTTTCGCCCTCGGGGCGAGAACGGGACTGTCGCAGAGATCCTGCATGCCCACATTCGCGCTCTTCGCCTCTGATGATTCGCCCTGGGCCTGTTCTTGCTTTGATACATCATGACTGACACGGATGACCCCATTATCGGCACCTCGAGACTGAACAGTGTGATCATTATTGGATGGCAGCGGAGGTATAGAATTCTGTAGCTCTTTGGCCCTTTTTTTATATCGTTCCTTCTCTTTCAAGGCACGCTCAAGGTCCTTATTCAGGCCAAGTATCAAAGTCCGCTGCTTGTCCACCAGTCTCCAGAGTTGCGCATTCTGAGAGGCTGCATGATGCTTCTCCTTCAGAAGGTGTATGATAACAGCCTCGGGTGACCCCGCGGTTGCTATAAGATGATCGATATCAGCTTGGCTGACCGCGCTGGCATCGAACGACGACTTATGGGGTTGAGACGCTGACGACAGAGAAGAGATTGCAGAATCAATTGATGAAGTGCGGGGCATAATACGGTGCCCCGGTGTTCGGTCCCCAGACATTGATTGCAATGAGTCCAGTAGTGATACTGGAGATGATGTTGGTGACTGCACCGAGTCGCCTGTATCCGATAATTTGCGTGCTCCAATGTCGTTTTCTATCGCAGTCATACCTCTACCATGCTGTTTCAGGTCACCACACGCCCTATCGCCTGCCGACGATGTGGTCGACTTCTGGCCAGAACCGGATGGTTTTGAGGGCAACGCAGCAAATGCAGCATGGGCTAGCCGGCTGGTCGAAGAATGGTTGGTCGGCGGAGCTGTTTTAACGGATGATCGAGGAGATACAGGACTCTGTAACAAGCTGAAATTGTCTTGACGGTCTTCTCGACAACAGTCACTTGTGTTCAAGGGTGAGGGTGTTGGTTTGCGGGGGCCAGTCACAGCGACAACCCCAGAACGTAAGGGCTGGGCGTC